CGGGTGGGTTGGGAGGGGCAGCTGTGCGCACTGACACAGTTCTGCTGAGTGGAGAGGGTCGTATCGCTATGGTAACCATTAACCCCTTCCTCACAGGCGCCCCCACGTATCGCGTCACGGGGGAAATCAAACCGGGAGCAAATTCTGCAATTTTATTACAAAAAAGTTATAAAAACAAACAAACAAAAAAGTTGTTTTGGGAAACAAACCTGAGATGGAGAGGTCGGAGGTCATGGCAATTGGCACTCTGTTTTATGAAGGTTGCCTCTCCATTTTCCTCTGTGTCAGCGATGTCCATCAATAAATTGGGGAAATCATCATATTAGAAAAATGTCCCAAAATGCGCCATATCTCTATCATACATTGTCTGTGTTGCCCGTGGTAACCAGTCACTTTCATGAACTAAATTGCCCTGTCTGGTTGCTATGGATACCACGGTACTTCTTGTTCATTATTGTGACTGATAAGTTGCCCGTGGCAACCAGTAAACGTCCTTCTCTCCACTAACCTGCTCCGTCCGGTTGCTATGGATATCTCATTTTTTTTATCAATGTGACTGATAAGAATTATGTTGCCCGTGGCAACCAATTAGCTTCCTTCTTACATCCCCAAACTATGGATACCACGGTGCTCCTTGTTCATCAGTGTGACCGATAAGTTGCCCGTGGCAACCTATAAACTTTCTTCTTCCATCCCCTATCTCAGTTGGGGAACTAGCTCTGTCCGGTTACAATGGATACTACGGTACGCCTTGTTTTTCAATGTGCTTGATAAGGACAATGTTGGCCGTGGCAACCAGTAAACCTCCATTTTTCATCCTTTAAACTGCACTGTCTGGTTACTACGGATACCACGGTGCTCCTTGTTTATCAGTGTGATTGATAAGTTGCCCGTGGCAACCAGTAAACTTCCTTCTTCCATCCCCTCACCTGCCCTGTCCGGTTGCTATGAATACCACGGTCTCCATGTTTATGAATGCGACTGATAAATTGCCCGTGGCAACCAGTAAACTTTCTTCTTTCATCCCCTATTCGGCCCTGTCCAGTTACTATGGATACCACGGTACGCCTTGTTTATCAATGTGACCTATAAAGACAATGTTGCCCGTGGCAACCAGTAAACCTCAATTTTTCATCCCCTAACCTGTCCTTGATGCATGAATGGGAAGATGGTTGGTTGCTACGGGGAACACAGCAGGCCTCATCTGCCAAAAAGTCACTGAAAGATCTCTTCTTGTTCCTTTAGCAACCATTCCCGCTCCACTGCTTTTGTTTTTGTCAATGTTGATGAATAAAATGACTGGTTGCCATGGGAGACACAGCGTGACCTTCAGTCAGTTGACTTGGAGTCATGCGGTTGTCCAGATGTCAGGTTTGAGAGCCGTTCACATGTAATCATTCTGCTGCAGTGTGGCAACGGATGTTATGGCACAAACGCAGTTGTCGCTGTTCACCCTCTCTGTCCTGGTGTCACCGAGACAGGAAGTGACAGGATATCCAAAATTTTGAGTTGTCACCAGGACAGGTAGAGATTGTCTGGTGACAACTCTTTAACCTGTTATGTCTCCTGGAAAGGAAGTGAAGGGAAATCTCACTAATGGGGACACATGGCAAAAATAAATAAAAAAAAATAAATCTTTCTTTGGAGAGATTTCTTCTCACTTCCAGCGCTGGTTCTGTGTCAGACGCCATATTATGGGGCCCCGTGCGCGTGTGTCAGCAGCTTATTGATCGCTCCTCAGCCGATATATAAATCACGTGTCACCGCTCTGAAGGTTCAACAATTTCCAATATATAAACTCCGGAGACATTTCCCCGAAACGGAAATCACTCGATATCCCAATCCATTCACCGAGACAATTCACCCCGGGGGAATCTCACCAGCATGACCGCAGACCACCCTTCATTCCCACCATCAATGTCACATGATACGGGAGTGACATCACCGCTCTCCAGATATAAGATATATCACACAGCCCAGGAGTGACATCACCGCCCTCCAGATATAAGATATATAATGCTCATCATTAGGTCAGGTGATCTCACAACATGTTCTGGTATCGCAGTCCGCTGTTATATCCCAGTGTCTCCCAGTATCTCTCCCAGTATCCCTTCCAGTATCCCTTCCAGTATCTCTCCCAGTATCTCCCAGTATCTCTCCCAGTCTCTCTCCCAGCATCTCCCAGTATCTCTCCCAGCATCCCTTCCAGTATCCCTTCCAGTATCTCTCCCAGTATCTCTCCCAGTCTCTCTCCCAGCATCTCCCAGTATCTTCCAGTATCTCTCCTAGTATCTCTCCCAGTATCTTCCAGTATCTTCCAGTTTCTCCCAGTATCTTCCAGTATCTCTCCCAGTATCTTCTAGTCTCTCCCAGTATCTCTTCCAGTCTCTCTCCCAGTCTCTCTTCCAGTCTCCCTCCCAGTATCCTCCAGTCTCTCCCAGTATCTCTTCCAGTCTCTCCCAGTATCTCCCAGTATCTCTCCTAATCTCTCCCAGTATCTCTCCCAGGTTCTTCCAGTATCTCTACCAGTATCTCCCAGTATCTCTTCCAGTCTCTCTCCCAGTATCTCCCAGTCTCTCTCCCAGTCTCTTCCAGTCTCTCACAGTATCTCTTCCAGTTTCTCCCAGTATCTCTCCTAATCTCTCCCAGGTTCTTCCAGTATCTCTCCCAGTATCTCCCAGTATCTCTCCCAGTATCTCCCAGTATCTCTCCCAGTCTCTCTCCCAGTATCTCTACCAGTATCTCTCCCAGTCTCTCCCAGTATCTCTCCCAGTCTCTCTCCCAGTCTCTCTTCCAGTCTCTCTCCCAGTATCTTCCAGTCTCTCCCAGTATCTCTTCCAGTCTCTCCCAGTATCCCCCAGTATCTTTCCTAATCTCTCCCAGGTTCTTCCAGTCTCTAGCACACCCCGAAATGAACAATTGTGTGACGCTCCAATCGTGTCACCGCTGGAACTCTGTATCACTTACATCAGAGATCTCTGCACAGAATCGCCCGGTGTCGCCGTGTCAGGTGTCATACTGTCAGTACAATCAGGGGGTCGTAGTTGCTGCAGAAAGTAATGTTTCAGCCGAGTTTTACCTTGTCACTTTTTCTCCTTTTATTACATTTGATAGAAATACAGATGAGTAAGCTGCCCTCTAGTGGCGACTTGTGCACCAGGCAGTACAGTCAGCATGCCTGCTGGATGGCGGCTGAGCTACAATCAATAAGCCGCACAGGGAGTGCATTGTTTTTAGTCAGGTGGAGTTCAGTAAGGGTTCGTTCACACCTTAGGGCAGTGCGTTGCGGTCAGAATCGGACCGCAACGCACCGCCCCCCGCGAACGAACCCTAAGA